AATGCAAAACTGTTACACAATCTTCCATGCATCAGGGGAAAGCCATTCATCCCTTTTCACGCATGAATGTCATCGTTCATAACTTAGGCCGAGAGCAGGCGAGACAATATCGAAGGAAGCAAAAGCAGGTGGACAAGACAAGGCAACATAAGAATTCCCACAAGAAATAAAAGATGAAAAAACATTCCATTTATTAAAAAATCATCACTCCAAAGTTCTTCCAATTCTAAAATTTTTAGTTTTATTTGACAAGTTTTTGTTTAAAAATGAGAAAGAGAGAGAGAGAGAGAGAGAGAGAGAGTAGGAAGTACTGCATTGGTGCTCATGGCATAACAACTGAATTAAAAGTTAAAGTAAAGGTCGAGTAGATGCAAACATGGAACACCTAATTGTGAAAAAGAATTTTCAATCGAATAGAGCATTTGGGAAATTACAATAGTCAAAGATTTTGCGAAACCTTGCATACGGCAACTCCGTAGCTATAAAATAATCTACGAGCAATGCAAAACTGTTACACAATCTTCCATGCATCAGGGGAAAGCCATTCATCCCTTTTCACGCATGAATGTCATCGTTCATAACTTAGGCCGAGAGNAATGCAAAACTGTTACACAATCTTCCATGCATCAGGGGAAAGCCATTCATCCCTTTTCACGCATGAATGTCATCGTTCATAACTTAGGCCGAGAGTAGGCGAGACACTATCGAAGGAAGCAAAAGCAGGTGGACAAGAGAAGGCAACAGAAGAATGCCCACAAGAACTGAAAGACGAAAAAACATTCCATTTATTAAAAAATCATCACTCCAAAGTTCTTCCAATTCTAAAATTTTCAGTTTTATTTGACAAACTTTTTGTCTAAAAATAAGTGGCAAAATTGTTACACAATCTTCCACTAGCTTAGCGGCAGCGGTGCGGGCGGTGACTGCACAAACAACAGAAAATATTGAAAAATATGAAATATCACACAAACTGCTCACTTCGACTCAAATGGACCTATACGCTAAAACAACCTTAAACGACACTCCAAACAAGCTCAAACTGACTCATACAGTCCGATGACGGCCGCAAAGAGAGTTCAAACTGACTCAGAATACAATTGCATAGATTGAAATAGATCGACAAACTCAAAATTGAATATGTAGGTATGTGTGTGTGTGTGTGTGTGTGTGTGTGTGTGTGCGTGTGTGTGTGTGTGTGTGTGTGTGTGTGTGTGTCTGTGTGGGTGTGGGTGTGTGTGTGAGAGAGAGAGAGAGAGAGAGAGAGAGAGAGAGAGAGAGAGAGAGAGAGTAGAGTACAGTAGAGTATCTTACCAAAGAGTATCATAGAGTAGAGTTGAGTAGAGTACAATAGAGCAGAGCAAAGTAGCAAAGCGTATAGTAGAGCATAGCAGAGTAGTGTAGAGTAAAGTAGAGTATCGTTGAGTATCGTAGAGGAGTATCATAGGGTAGAGTGTTGTAGAAAACGTTATCGTGGACTATTGTAGAGTATCATAGAGTAGAGTAACCTAGAATAGAGTAGAGAACAAAATCGTAGAGTAGAGTATTGTAGAGTAGAGTACAATAAATAAAGTATCATAGGGTAGAGTACAGTAGAGTAAAGTAAAGTAGAATAGAGTAGAGTACAATAAATAAAGTATCATAGGGTAGAGTACAGTAGAGTAAAGTAAAGTAGAATAGAGTAAAGGATCGTAGAGTATCATTGAGTAAAGTAGTGTAGAGTACGATGGAGTAGAGTAGAGAAGAGTAAAGTAGAGAAGAGAAGTGTAGAGTACATAAGAGTAGAGTAGAGTAGTGTAGAGCAGAGCAGAGTAGAGTTGAGTAGAGTAGCGTAGAGTAGAGTGGAGTGGAGTAGAGTAAAGTAGATTAGAGTAGAGTACACTATCAGAGAAAGGATAGTAGAGTATCGTAGAGTAGACTATCAACAAGTAGAGTATAGTAAAGTATAGTAGAGTGGCGTAGAGTAGAGTACTGTAAAGTGGAGTAGAAATAAGTACAATACAATACAATAGAGAAAAATATTGTAGAATAGAGTAGAGAAGAGTAGAGTATAATAGGTAAAATTATCATAGCTATGGTAGAGTAGAGCAGAGTGCAGTAGAGTAGAGTGGAGTAGAGTAGAAAATCATGGAGTAGAGTAGAGAATCATAGAGTATTGTAAAGTGGAGTAGAGTGAAGTAGAGTGGAGTAGAGTAGAGTAGAGAAGGGAAAATCAGAGTAAAGTAGAGTAGAGTAGACTATCAAAGAGAAGAGTATCGTGGAGTAGAGTGGGCTATGAGAGAGTAGAGTATCGTAGAGTAGAATAGAGGAGAGTAAAGTATCATAGTAGAATAGAGGAGAGTAGAGTATCAGAGTAGAGTGCAGTAGAGTAGAGTGGAGTAGAGTAAAAAATCATAGATCAGAGTAGAAGATCATAGAGTATCGCAGAGAAGAGCAGAGTGAAGTAGAGTGGAGTAGAGTAGAGCAAAGTAAAGTCGAGTGGAGTAAGTAGAGTAGAGAAGGGAGGAGTAGAGTAGACTATCAAAGAAAATAGTATCGTGGAGTAGTGGACTATGAGAGAGTTGAGCATCGTAGAGTAGAATAGAATCGAGTCGAGTCGAGTCGAGTCGAGTAGAGTCAGAAGATGAGAGTATCATAGCATACCGTACAACAAAGTATAGTACAAAAGAGTACAGTAGAGTACAATAGAGATGAGTACAACTGAGTACAAATGAGTAGAATAAAATACATTATAGTAAAGCAAAGTAGAGTAGCGTCGCGTAAACTGGAGTGGAGTGGAGTAGAGTGGAATGGAGTGGACTGGTGGGGAGTGAAGTGGAGCGGAGAAGAGTGGAGATGAGCAAAGAGGAGAGGAGTGAAGAGGAGAGGAGCGGAGAGGAGAGGAGCGGAGAGGAGAGGAGTGGAGCTGAGAGGAGTGGAGCTGATAGGAGCGGAGTGGAAAGGAGTGGTGTGAAGTTGAGTGGAGTGGAGTGGACTAGAGCAAAGCGGAGTGGAGCAGAGTAGAGTGGAGGAGAGTGGAGGAGAGTGGAGTGGAGTAGAGTGGAGAGGAGTGGAGTGGAGTAGAGGCGAGTGGACTGGAGGAGTGGAGTGGAGTGGAGTGGAGTGGAGTGGAGTGGAGTCAAGTCCACTGGAGTGGACTGAAGTAGAGTGGAGAGGAGGAGGGTGGAGAGGATCAGCATGGAGTAGAGTAGAGCAGAGTGGAGTAGAGCAGAGCAGAGTGGAGTAGAGCAGAGTGAAGTAGAGTAGAGTAGAGTAAGGTAGAGTAGAGTAGGGTAGAAGAGAGTAGGGTAGAAGAGAGTAGGGTAGAGCAGAGTAGGGTGGGGTAGAGTAAAGTAGAGCAAAGTAGGGTAGAGCATAGTAGCGCAAAGAAGAGTAACGCATGGTCGCATAGAATAGCATAGAGTAGAGTAGAGAAGAGCAGAGTGGAGTAGAGTAGAGTAGAAAGGAGTGGAGTGGAGTGTTGTGGTCTGGAGTGGAATGGAGTGGACTGGAGGAGAATGGAGTGGAGCAGAGTGGAGTGGAGGAGAGTAGAGTGGAGGAGAGTAGAGTGGAGCGGAGTGGAAAAGAGTGGAGTGGGGTCGAGTGGAGTAGAGTGGGGTGGAGTGGGGTGGAATGGAGTGAACTTGAAGTGGAGCGGAGTGGAGTGGAGCGGAGTGGGGTGGAGTGGAGCATAACGGAGTAGAGAGGAATGGAGTGTAGAAGAGCGGAGAGGAGAGGAGCGGAAAGGAGAGGAGAGGAATGGAGCGGAGATGAGAGGAATGAAGCGAAGAGCAGTGGAGTGGAAGGAAATGGAGTGGAGTGGAGAGCAACGGAATGGAGCAGAGCGGAGTGGAGCAGCGTGGAGTGGAGTAAAGTGGAGGCGAGTGGAGTGCAGTGGAGTGGATTGGAGTACAATGGAGAGGAGGAGACCGGAGAGGATAAAAATGGAGTAGAGCAGAGCAGATTAGAGCGATGTGGAGTTGAGTAGAGGGGAGGAGAGTGGAGGAGAGTGGAGGAGAGTGGAGTGGAGAAGAGTGAGAGTAGAGAAGACTAGAGTAATGAACAACAAAATGAAGTAGAGCAGAGCAGAGTGGTTTAGAGTAGAATGGAGTATAGTAAAGCAAAGTAGAGTAGAGTTGAATAGAGTATTGTAGAGTAGAGCAAAGTCGAGTTGAGAAGTGTGGAATAGAGTAGAGTCGAGTGGAGTAGACTAGAATATAGTGGAGTGAAGTGGAGTGAAGTGGAGTGAAGTGGAGTGGAGCGGAGTGGAGTTGAGTGGAATGGAGTTGAGTTGGATGGAGTGGAGTGTGTAGAGTAACGCAAAGTAGAGTAGAGTAGCGTAGCACATAGTAGAGTAGCGTAGCGGCGCGTAGAGTAACATAGAGTATAGTCGAGTGGAGTCAAGTGGAGTAGAGTATAGTTGAGTGGAGTGGAGTCGAGTGGATTCTAGTGGAGTGGAATGGAGTGGAGTGGAGAACAATGGAGTGGAGCACAGTGGAGTGGAGGAGAATGGAGTGGAGCAGAGTGGAGTGGAGGAGAGTAGAATGGAGTGGAGCGGAGTGAAGTTGAGAAAAGTCGAGTGGAGTCGAGTGGAGTCGAGTGGAGTGGAGTAGAGTAGAATGAAGTGGAGTGAAGCGGAGTGGAGTGGAGAGGAGAGGACCGGAGAGGAGAAGAGCGGAAAGGTGAGGAGAGGAGCGGAAAGGTGAGGAGAGGAGAGGAGCGGAGAGGAGAGGAATGAAGCGAAGAACAATGAAGCGGAGTGGCGTAGAGTGGAGCGTAAAGGAGTGGAGCAAAGCGGAGTGAACCAGCATGGAGTGGAGTGGAAGGGAGTGGAGTGGAGTGGAGTAGACTGGCGAGGAGGAGACTGGACAGGATTAGAGTGGACTAGAGCAGAGCAGAGTAGAGCGACGTGGAGTTGAGTCGAGCGAAGGAGCGTGGAGTAGAGCAGAGCAAGACTGGAGTAATGAACAACAAAGTGAAGTAGAGCAGATAAGAGTAGTTTAAAGTAGAATGGAGTAGAGTAAAGCAAAATAGAGTAGAGTTGAGTAGAGTAGTGTAGAGTAGAGCAAAGTCGAGTCAAGAAGAGTCGAGTACAGTATAGTCCAGTGGAGTAGAGTAGAGTAGAGTGGAGTGGTGTGGAGTGGAGTGGAGTGGAATGGAGTGGAGTGGAATGGAGTCGAGTCGAAGGGAGTGGAGTGGAGTGGTGTAGAATGGAGTGGCGTGGAGTAGTGAAGAATGAAGTGGAGTGGAATGGAGTAAAGGATAGCAGAGTGAAGTAGAGTGGAGCGGAGTGGAGTAGAGTGGACTGGAATGTAGTGGAGGAGAGTGGAGGAGAGTGGAATGAACCAGAGTGGAGTGGAGTGGAGTAGAGTGTAAAAGAGTGGAGTGGAGTAGAGTGTAGAAAAGTGGAATGGAGCAAAATAGAGTGCAGGAGAGTAGAGTAGAGTAGAGTAGAGTAGAGTGGAGTGGAGTAGAGTGGAGTGGAGTGGAGTGGAGTAGAGTGGAGTGGAGTGGAGTGGAGTAGATTGGAGTGGAGTAGAGTGGAGTGAAGTAAAGTGGAGTGGAGTACAGTGGAGCGGGGTAGAGTGGAGTAGAGGATAGTAGAGTGGAGTGGATTGGAGTAGAGAGTAGAGTGGAGTGGATTGGAGTGAAGTGCGGTGAAGGGGAGGGGAGGGGCGAAGGGGAGGGGAGGGGAGTGGAGGAGAGTGGAAGAGAGTGGAAGAGAGTGGAAGAGAGTGGAAGAGAGTGGAGGACAGTGGAGGACAATGAAGTGGAGGAAAGTGGAGTAGAGCGGAGCAGAGTGGAGTACTGTACAACAGAGTAAAGTAGAGCGGAGCATATCAAATCATAGCAGAGCAGAGGAGAGTAGTGTAGAGCAGGGTAGAGAAGAGAAGAGAAGAGAAGAGAAGAGAAGAGAAGAGCAAAGCAAGGAAGCTCATAGCAAGGAAGCGTAGAGTAGAGAAGGGTAGGGACGAGAAACGCAAGGAAGGAAATAGTAGAGAAGAGTAGAGTAGAAAATAGTAGGGAAGCATAGAGTGGAGGAGAGTAGAGTAGAGTAGAGTAGAGTCGAGTGAAGTAGATTAGAATGGAGTAGAGTGGAGTAGAGTGGAGTAGAGTGGAGTGGAGTAGAGTCGAGTGGAGTGGAGTAGAGTAGAGTGGAGTGGGGTACAGTGGAGTAGATTGGAGTGGAGTATAGTGGAGCAGAGTGGAGTGGAGTAAAGTGAAGTGTAGTAGAGTGTAGCGGAGTTGAATGGAGCGAAGTGGAGTGGAGTGGAGTGGAGTGGAGTGGAGGAGAGTGTGGTGCAACACTTGCTTCGACATTATATCAAGCTGAGCCAGGATGACTGGGACAAGAAGTTACCTCTCATCACCAGCTTGCAGAACAATGTTTTACACAACACCACATGCATGTCTCTTAATGAGTTACATCTTGGTTCGAAACCTAGGTCCGCTCTTGACTTCCTCCTACCTGAAAACCAGCCCACAACAACTCCTCACAGCATTGAATTTGCTGGCCAAGATGATAAGATGCTGCAGCAGGCTGTTGAGCAGATTCAAAAGTCTCAGGACGTTATGATTGCATCCAAGAATACGGGCAGAAGGCTATCTAGCTTTTTGGTCGGGGATGGAGTTTGGGTGAAGTTATCTGAATTGAGTCAGGAACTAAGTATATCTAGAAAGTTGATGCGGCAATGTTTTGGACCGTGGGAAGTATTAGATATTGTGGGGGGATGACCGTCCTACTCACACGTATCCAGGGACACCTACGCACATACCATGTTTTCCATACCTTCAAACTTCAACCTTTCGCTGAAACAGATCAGTTTCCTTCGAGACGGTCTATGCTGCCCCCAACGATGGATGGACACGTGGAAATCGACAACATCGTGGATCACAGAGACAAGCCAATTGGCAGAGGAAGACTGCCGAAACCCCAAAGACAGTTCCAGGTCTGCCGCACAATGGCCTCCAGCCAGAATGTCTCCGGTAGAGGTCAGCACTTTCCTATATGGAAAGTGGCAGCTGCACTGGGCCTCCCCTGGCTTGACGCGCGAGGTTTCTAGTAGCTTCACGCGCTAGGCCGTATTTAACTCCAGGGCCTGTTCCGAAAGGATTCAATAGCAGGATCTCATAGGACTTTTGAAGCTATGGACGAGGGGGTGTGAGGGTGTGAGCCCTCACGGGGCCCCTTTTCCCCTTGCCCCCGGCGCCCAACATTATCAGGCGGGCGTGAGGGTCGTGCGGGCAGGATTTCCTTGAGCCTGGCAGGCCCTACCAGGGTCTGAAACAGCATAGGGTTGTGTGACTGGGCACTGGACTCCAAAGCCGCACACTGCTTTTTTGTCACACACAGCCTCTAGGCCAATCGGAAGGCAGCGAATAGCGGAGGCCACATCGCACAATTGAACCCCTAACTGTTTGGGGCCCGGGCCACTTTCGGAACAGGCCCTGGAGTTAAATACGGCCTAGCGCGTGAAGCTACTGGAAACCTCGCGCGTCAAGCCAGGGGAGGCCCAGTGCAGCTGCCACTTTCCATATAGGAAAGTGCTGACCTCTACCGGAGACATGGGCGCAAATGGGCGCTGAGAGGAGACGCAGCTGAGCGCTGCTTGGCAAGTCCGCTATAGCCGGGCCATACGATCCTGGAAGCCAGTGGTGTACTGGGAGGTGGTCCCTTGGACATGGTGGTCTGCATGTGGGGAACAGACAGGAATCGTGAGTGGGACAGAGGAGGATGTACCTGGTGTGTCGTTGAGGTCTGCATGGATGACATCTTCGTGTACATCGGTTCTGCTGCTGAAGTTCTTCTAGTTGCATCATCATAGTGTAGGCTAAATAGGCGTCGTGAGTCTGTGGTTGGGCGCCAGGTGCCAGTAGGGAAGAGTGGCACTGGATACATTGTTGACGGTGGCGAGACAAGGGGCTGACATTGACAATGGAGTTCATTGCTTTGCTCTTCATTTGGTGGGTACTTGGTTCATTCTGCCGTCTATGCGACACACAACTATTTGGTTTTCAATGTCATAATGCGATTTGGATTTCTGTCATTCGCTCATATTCGTTGCAATACAAGTACCCTGGCGGGTCCCACACACACGCAAGCAGTCATGCATGGAGATAGGCACACGGGAACCAGCAAGCACGCACACAAACAGACTTAGAAATCTCCGCAAAAAGCGGGAACCTCTGCAAAGGCACAGATTCCACATGATTCCAGCGGCAAAACTCAGAAATCAGCAGAGTTCTCAGTCTGTGATTTTGCAGGTCGTTACATTGGTCTCAACCTGCTTTTATCTGATGTTGGAATAGTCTGAAATCTTCAATGTTCTGGGAAACCAGCTGGGTCTTCCTTCCAAAGATGATCCTATAAAGAAAAAAAAGCCGTAAACCCTAACGGTATTGCAAGTATCTGACTCCTTCAGGGTTCAAACTCGTCATCTGTTCATTCACAGTTCCACAGACTACCACAGCTGTGAGTTCCGAACGACCTGGCCATCCTGCCATTTCCAAACCCTCCCAAGTACCAAAGATGCAGAAAACAGACCACAAACTTTCCATGTTATGTCTCATGCAGAACATTACGGTTTGCTGAGAGCAGGAAAAACACTGAAAAGCTAGGTTAGGTCCATCTGCGAAGCACTAAGTACATGAGATTCCATCCATGGCACAAAGCCTTGTCCCTTATCTCCAGCAAAATGCAACATCAAAATGCAAGGATCCCGACCCTTCATCACTTGCTGGAGTGCAACAGATCACATGCATATACACTGATTTCACAGATTGCGAAGTCTCACACAAAACCCAATAGAAGGTGAATGAGAACCAGGAAGCTCAACTCAATTATCAAACCCAGAGTTAGAGAGAGAACATCGTGAGTTCAAAGTGTATAGCGCTGAACAGAGTTACGGGTCTTCTTCAATCAACATGAGTTCCAAGCCTGACGCTCATCAGCGTCAGCTGCCAAACGTCAACAACAGCGCTCAACAGGTAAGTGTCACCATAGCTCACACTTCCCCCTCTCTCGTCTGCCTTCTTCTTTCTCTTCCTCTATGTCTATAGTCCTGGTCTACCCTCAC